TTTGTCGTCAACGCGGCATCAGCGTTGTTACAAGAAGAAGCAGATGCTCTAGGTAGCTTTTGTTTTGTTTGATGAATCATCGCCATATGTCATTTTTTACAGTCGATGAACTATCAATGTTAGCAGTATAACATCTTTGTTATCAGTTGGGTTGTGTGGTACTGAATGCGGTGTGGAACATACTCCATTCGTACTAAATAAAAAGAGTATTGTGTCTTGTCGTTAAGATAGCAGACCTACGTAGTTTTGATTTCATGTCAGTTTAGTAGTTCGTGTCTTGTTATTGCGTGTTCTGTCAATAAAAGGGAGATATAGCACCTTTCGGTGATGAGAAACGCTTCAGACAGCGCCTGCTTTGTGCACTGAAACAGTGCCAACAGATTTCGTATCGACATTCGTATACATACGTGTTGAAACCAAATTGGAACCTATTATATGCCTTGCAGCCCCCTTTATTGTTATTCTAGGTAAAGAGTTCACATGTATTGCCCTTAACGATGCTTATTACAGCCGTTTATATTTGATCAACAGTAACCAGCTGAAGGTGTTACCTGATGTCGACGCTAATCGTGATCTAGGTGCCATATAGGCTGAATTAATTTTGCACCCATAGGGCTACGTTCTCTTTGACATGGTCTCTCCTCTGTCGTATGCCTCAATTATTTTTTTCCACCTACGGACCGTACGGGATCAAGTTGAGTACCCGTCATCAACACTGTTCTTCGGATCAATGAGAATGCACGAGGGAGATCTCCATGCTGATAACCGAAATCGGAGCGCGGTTGACGATCCAACACGTAGCCACCCATCTGAATTGTGCGATTCCTACACTTCGAAACTTCTAGTCTTTGGCCTCATGGCTATCCACTACGCCATTGAAGCTTTATCGCTCACTTCACCAAGTGCCAACAGCTGTACTTCTTGCATTATTCTCGCGTTAAGTAGAACCCGCAATGCGTGCGCCATATGATTACTCCTACTTGTTGCACTTGTGTCATTTATGTCGAATTATAGAATACAGTATTTGAAACTCAGCTCATTCGTGTACAATCATTCATACATTTCCTCTTACTTTTTTTGGTGTCATTGTTGAAGGTTGAAGGACAGATTCAGGAGAGATGTCGTGCATTGTATGTTTTTCTGTGGCACAGAGGAATACGAACATGACCGCGAACCTAAGGTAGAACCGCGGCCTTCTTGGGCTTCGTCGAAAATACGATGGATAGTGCCCGTACGCGTGTTCTCCATCGTGACTTATGTTCATCTCCTAGTAGGACCATTGATACAACAACAGACAATCATTCCACACTTCTATAATATTTTGATAGCGTCTTATCATGATCGTTTCTTCTAGATTTTTTTGCCCGGGACACCCTTCACCAGCCGTCTCGTTCATTCTATCAAATGGGATCATCTTATCGCCTACAGTGTCAAATAGAGCATATTGACGCCCTGAGTTCATGCATCATATCAGGCCTCGTGTCGGGCGCCGCACAGGGCACAGGACTGGCCACATCGATGGCACGCCTTGAGCGGATAGTATAGCCATAAGCACGGTACGATTACACTGAGAATGGCCAGAGCGGCCCACCGTCTACTGCTAGGCCGGCGCGGAGCTCCCGCTTCGTCGTCATCTCGCCAGCAGTGATATAGCACACACTCGACGCAAGGCATGCAAGATGCCCGCTCAATCGCACCCATAACCGGATCGGGCCCGAACTCGCAGGCCCCACGGACGTTCTCCTCCGGCCGAAACTCCTCGAGGCAGTGGCGGCAATGCAAAACAGCCATACGTTCCCCACCAAAGCGTCCATCAGGTTTCCCGACAGTAGAACCTCCTTTCTTCTTAATCGGTAGCGGCAATGTCGACGGTGAACGCGATGGCGGCAGTAGTGCAGGCTTTTTCCCGCTAGCTCCTGGCTGTATCTGATATAGGTCAAAGGAGGAAAAAGGGCTCGTTATAAATAATATGCCTTTGTTGGAGTATTGGCGAAAGCTGACGTTAAAAAATTTGTGTGCCTTTCAATGACTTAGCAATACTGAAGATATTATTAAACCTTTGGTGATTATTCACGTTACATCATTTTCACATCGTCGCTCTTTTTTTAGCGAGTGTGTGCCATACATACCATAGGGGGTTATATAGGGTTTATCGAAACACGTGTTATAAGATTATAACGAAAAGCTAAGGAAAATGAAAAATAAATAAATAATGGCATTTTTACGAACTTAGTCTAGGACGTGTGGTATACTCTAGATACAATTTGCGCAACTCTTTCAAACCTCATATTGTGTAGATCCAAGCCCGTGTTAATTTAATTGCTTCCGGAACTTGAAAGGTGAAGTAGGTGTTACAAGGTACTATCAACTCCCTCAAAAAAAGCCATCGATATGAAAATTAAGTACAATAATGCCATTTTACGGATCCACACAGGTTGCTGAGATGGCCAAAAGCGCTAGCTTCAATGTGTAGACAATAAATTGAAGTACCTATAAGTCAAGCTATTGTTCTTCTATCTGATATGATTTGAAAGCTATTCGAGATTACCGATTTACTAAAACGCCCCGGACAACCTAATCGATAAAGCCTTTGTTTGAAGGTCTTCGAATAGCTTTCATATTGTACAATACCGTCACGTTGACTTGCACTTACGGATTGCATTTGGTTACTGTCAATATAAGTATAATCATGTTGAGCAGCAGTTATATGTCCGTAGTTGTAATTGTTGCTATGGTAGCTACAGAGCGAGTCCTTATCTGCAGGGCCCTGCGCCCCACCAAAAGCCCCTTTGGGATCTCTATCTGATGAGGAAAACGTGCCACCCCCAAGACCACCGACGCCGGATACCGAACTGATCGACGCGACTGGCGGTGCCGGTACAGGCCTAAAAGTACGAGATAAACATAGAGATGTAGCGAAATGGAACCCATAAGGTCCTTAAAAGCTGGTACACTGAAAAATATATAACCGAGAGACGAGAAGTGAACTAAATAGAGAAATATGCGCGTTTATTAGCGGAATTTGGCGTTCGAAAACAAGTGGATGTGTCATTCCAATTGAAAGCTTTTCCATTTTGCATGTAGATGGTAAAATACGTTGAGGTACGTAATTTTTCTAGTGTATGTAGCTTCAAGTTTAGTGAGGAAAATACACAAGCTGTTATCTATCCTTAATCAATAAGACCAGTGTCTCTTCGTTTTGCCCGTACTCTTATATATACTTATAGATGGCTTACGTTGACTCCTTGCTAGATACCTTATTATGAGTTCTCTATCAGTTTTTAAGCAAGAGATGAGGTGAACAAGCCAGTAAGAGATTTTGAACAACAACAACAACAACTATAACAACGAGACCTAAAAATCAGCTACATCAAGATCACCTGGTGGGGTTGAGGTAACTGATCCGATGAAAGTGACTATGGTTGGCTGGATTATTACTGTTGTTGTGGTGGTGAATTCCGCCGTGTACGGGTGCAGGCGGGGGAGCTCCGGAAGATAGCGGCTTCGCAGGCCGCGGAGCCTTAAGCATCGCCTTTGCTAATCCGGCCGTTGAACTTGACGATGAGGTCCCGTTCGACGACGTTGTTGACGAGCGTGAATCGAGTGGTAGCTCGAGAGCCATAAAGACATCGTCATCGCCTATCAATGTGTCAACAAATGGATACCAGGCCAGTGCAGAGGCCACGCCATTGGAACCGATGCCGCAATTTTCAGTTTCTGCATATTCCGACAGAATTTCGGCAGATGAAGTTTTCAGGGAAAAAACATTGCGAAACGAACAATTAAAGAGAATCATTTTTGTTCCTCTTACATGGAAGGCATTTTGTAGGACTTTCTGAATTATTTAAACCATTTATGAATTCCTATATATACATAACGCTTATTTATTTGTAAGAATTTAGTATCAAATGGCTATGACGCTTGTATATAAAGCACAACCAATAAACAACTTAAAGCATTATTTAAATATCTCTTGAACGTTTGTTTAGTCGGTTATCATGAATACAATTGACGGGTTGCCATGGAAGGTACATTGCAGAAGGTTGATGAGTAGAGCGTATTTATAAGAAGTTTCTCTCTAGGACGACGTGCTGGAATATCAGACGGTTAGAAATACTTACACACGTTGATGTTGTTTGCAATGCAATACAAGGTGATGTTGTAGCGTTGGCAGTTTTGTTGGTAATTAACCCCACCGAGGCGTTACAGTATCAGGAAGCAATCAGGCACAATACGAGAACGGATGCATTGAGAAGCAGTAGGTGATGATGAGACGACCAAGGATTAATTCAAGAACGACGGGAGCTATGTGTTAATAGGTAACGGCTCAAAGTAGGCACAGATATAGGAAAATGGGTAGGCAATCGAACGAGGGTATACACGCATAACCCGTCAGTGTACGTTTGTTCAACCATGTTTTCGACATGTTCACGAGTCGCTACTTAAGTTCCTACCTAGAAATACATATACTAAACTTTATTTGAACTTTGTCAAGTTAACTGCACAGCGAAGGCGGAGTTAGTGAGATTACAGTATTAACATATAGAACGCTTTGATTTTGGTTTCATCAGTAAAATCTTTTAATATCCGATAGGTTGCTAAAAACGGGCCCACGTTGCAATTCGTCTGTACAAAAGCTGACTTTCTATTAGATAATAGTTGGTAAACCATATTTCCAGTCGCGGAAAACAACTATATATATA